GAACAAGGAACAATGGGTCAGTAATGGGCTGACTTGATACCACAAAGGGGAAAGAGACGACCGATGGCCAAGAGACCCCTCGGTGGCCATATGAGACGGGGACCCACAAGGATGCGAATAGGGTTGAATTACTACTTGGAAACAAGCGCACGTTTGTCCGGGAGCTTGGACACAACAGGCCCCTGTGAGGGTCAAAGCTGACCAGCTGGCTCCTGCTTTCCGAGGCAGGGACGTCCTGGATTTACTTGAGCCAGCTTGCGAACCTTCTCTCCCGGATCCATAAAAAAAACAGCTGCTGCTGCTGCTGCTGCTACCCAGAAGGTCAACCGGGAGCCAGAGCAGGCCTCCTCTGAGAAGGGCTGCGACTTGGGACGCTCCTGCCTGCTCCTATGGGGGACAAGAGGCCATTGCTCCATTCAATGTAAAGCAGAACCACCCGTCCCCGAAATCTTAGCTGTGTATCAGATGCCCCCCATATCACAGACCTGAAGGAAGCCTCCATGGTGGGGCTCGTGGTTCCACCCCCCCCTCCCCAAACAAGAGGCCACGGAACCAACTTAGGAAAATTCTCTCGGCATTGCTTTTACTCTGCCTGCCTCGGACTCGCAGCAGTAAATACCTCTGTGTCACGTCCTAATCCCCTTTTATGACATTGCGAATGAGTCTAGTGATAAGACCCTGGCCTGTTCGGACTTGCAGCACCCAAGGAGAAGGGTCGTCGGCCAGAATCCTTTCCCAAGATTCCCCACCTTGGTCGGTATCTTCGGGCAAATGTCTCTCCCCACATCCCCCGCCTCAGATCATCCTTACTGTCCCCTGACCATGTTTTTGGACTCCTTGTTGTTCAGCAGGAAGAGGCAAGACTGGGGGAAGGCTTGCAGGTTGCAATGCATTTAAAGAGAAGGGAAGAAAAATTAATCCAGGCGCCAAGCAAACGGAACTGTTTCCTGATCCCCATACAGTTCGCCGTGTGCTCTTTCTACGGTGGAAGTTTTGCTATGGAGGATTTTCCTGCACTACTGTAGCATTCCAACTGTCCCCAAATTAAGTGGGTTTGCTGTTGCTGCTGTTTGCTGTCTCTGCTTCCTTGCTAATAATTAAGAATGCCTGAGATAAGACTTGGAGTGGGTTATTGTTTGAAAAAACATGGGGGCTCAGTTCTGGAACGGGCAACCTGTCCTCCGGGTCTAAAGGTGTGCTTTGTCCACCCTAACCCAGAGCACCTACTCTTGGTCAACAGATGAAGATGAATTCTTTTAATAAGCAAGATGAATAAATAAGAATAACTGAGCCTCAGGTAGAAAAAGAGGAAAGGCGCTTCATATCAACCTAAAGAATCAAAAAAGTTCACCTAGCATACACCTTTGCAGACTATAGCATACCTCCTCGGATGGGCTATAGTCCAAGCACATGCCTGTCGCTCCTTAAGGTGCCATGGGCCTCTACACACTACCACCTAACCTCTGGAAGTATCAGAGGCAGCAGCTGTTTTAACACTAGCTCAAGGCTCAAAGGAAGCAACACCCTCCAGAGCTGTTTCTGCTTTTAATGACAGAAATATTAATCTCCGTTCAGAGCTCCGCCAGGGCTCCACAACTATCATGTCATGTTACGGCCCCCCTCCCCTGCAAGCCCAGTCCAAGCCTCCCAAAGACAGGAAGGAAGGATATTCAAGGACCATCTGCAGTCTCTCCTTGAGGCTCTCCAGCTGGACGGTTCGGTCCCACCAATTGTTGTTGCTGTGGCATGCGTGACTAGGTGGGTCTGTTTCGGGGAGGTGGCCTGACACCTGAGGAAGTTTGCTGCAACCCCTGAAAAGTTTATGCCTGACAAAAACATTACTAGTCTTTAAGAACTTGTTGTTGTTGTTGTTTTGGGGGGGAGAAACAAGAGGCCTCAATTTTCCAGTGACTTCACATCCAGCCTGTACCTACCCATCCTTTTTTTCCTAGCTCA